AATTGAAGCATTATTTGAAAAGGAATTTCGTTGAATTATTTTGTTTAATACTATAGTTCATCTATAGTGAATCTTAACAATTTGAAATTGTCATTGAAACAGCTGCAAATATTCCCCTTTCAAGACAGTAATCAATTATTAATTAATACAAAACAAATGAATTTAATCGATCTAAATAAAAAAAAACTTTTTTTTGCTTTAATTCGGAAATGTAAATTAGTTACATATGTTCGTTGATTTTAAAAATAGAAGTCGAATTTCCATTTTTATTAAACCGAATCAGTTTTACAATCGAGTGTTGTCTGCGAGCGACATTTAATTTGTCCGCTTTGTTCTACCGATGAGAGATTAGTCGTGCATGTCATATGACATTGTGCCTTTATGACAATCAATTAATAACCTAAAAACAGCGCATTAATTAACACTAAGAAACTAGTTGTCCGTCAATTTCGGAATTTCCGTTGGACCGATCGACCTTTCGATCTAGGGCCAGTTTTTTTTTTTTAATACGTGCAATTTTTGTGGTAATAACACACTATATGAATCGGTTTTATATATGTTTTATGAATATTGTTTACTTCTGTGGTACGCTTTAATATCGAGCAACGAAAACTGTACAAATATTCAATATCTTATTCAAATTATGTAATAAAATATTTTCTCTATTTTGGTAAAATTTCCTTACGAATTGTAAACGCAAATATCACAAGCGTGGGCAGATACCGTTGTCATTTTCCTAATTTTAGTTTATTTTCGTGTTATTTATTTTTAGCAACTTTTTTCACCAGGAGTATCCAGAATAAAAAAAACTACTCTAAGTAGATAAAGCCTTAGAAATGTTGAAACGTTAATAATGTAAAATGTAAATGTAGTGGGTTGAGGTTTACAAACAAGGGAAGTTTTAAATCTATACTAATATTATAAAGCGGAAGAGTTTGTTTGTATAAACCCGTTAATATTAGGAAGTACTGGACCGATTTGAAAAATTCTTTTTTTGTTGGATAATCCATTTATAGAGGAAGGCTCTAGGCTATATACGCTGCGACCAATAGTTTTTTTTCTTAACTCCGCGCGGACGGAGTCGCGGGCAAAAGGTGGTTCATTATAATTTTTAATGAATTAAAAACTTTTACAAGATTTCATTTAACAAATTATTAATAAATAACATTTTATAAATTTAAAACCATTTAAATCTTGATCGTAACAAAGTAATTCTCTTGAATGCAAAGATTTGATTTTTAAATTTCTTTACAATATCTCTTTTAAAAGTTACCGATTGTTGAGACATTGCGGTGCCAAGAGCTTTCATTTAATAGCAAACAGAGCAAATGGCACTTGGATTTGAAGAGTGTGGATAGCTTCCACGACCACGGACGTTGCTCGATGCAGCCGTTCAATTAAATGGAATCCAAATCGAAAAAGCGCACGGAATGTTCGTACAGCATAGGATTATGTTTGTTAGTTTTCAATAGCGGTGCGATTTTTTATTTAGATTGTGAGATGAAAAAATTCAAAAACAATTTGATGTATTAATAAAAGTTAATATTTTTTCTAAGGATTGTTTCATTTTTTCTTAATGTTTTTGCATGGTAAAATAATAATATTCTGTTTCGCATGATTTGTATTTAAATTTTAGTAATTATACGTTAGTTTGAAATTGTATAATAACAATATGATCGTTGTTAACATAAGGTTATTAAACTTAACCTTCAATTTAAACACTTATAAATATTTAAAAGATACAACAGATCTTGATTTCCAGTGAATCGGAATGCATGCATTCTTAACATTTATATTGCATGTATGTGAATCAAATTTCATATCAATGTAAATCTAACCACAATAGTAACTAGATGTATTTTGTCAACAGAACAAGGCGCTCTAACGATAGTCCGCCGCTCGTCAAGCCGCAGCAAAGGCGAGTGCGCTACGCCCACCGACGAGCAACTCGACCAGCTCGATCTGGACACCGAACACTTGCCCGCCGTCGACACGCCCGATGCCTGCGATAAGGCCGCACTTAGGTACTAAAAGACTGACTTTAGTGCTTAGTCCTGCATTCTCTTTGACTTTGCCAATACATGCACATGGCAAGTTTTATCTCTCTAGATAGTACCTCGATGAGATCACCTCTCGTCTTTCTTTCGTTCACGTTATCATATTTTCTCACAGTAACAACAAAATTTGACACGACAAAAAGTACAATACAATGCTAATCGTAATATTCATCTAATTTTAATCAATATGTATAACGATAGCTATTTCTCTGCTGAATCCGAAACATTAATTTCATCATCATCAGGTCACTATACATCCCCACTGTTATATTCAGAGCCTACCCTAAGTTAGGGGTGACTAGGCCATAGTCAAACACCCTGGTCAAGTGCAGGTTGATTGACTTCACACATTCAAACATCAATTTACCAACACAAATAGATTTTTTTAGATTTATCTGGAATTTTTATATATACTGCGACATTATCCACGGCCAATGAACAATAAAGATCAAAAGACCATTCGATGTTCACAGTTCATTGACGCTTATGTTCTGTTATAAATCGCGTACTAGTGAACATCCGCCGCTACCGGATATTGTCTGCTGATTGTAGTCGCATGTAAGCCAACGCGATACATTTTACTGTCATATGTGTAAACTGTTTTAGTATTCAAATAGATAGTGATATAATAATATTTAGTGTAAATGGATACTTACGTTGAGTTTATGAATTAAGCATTTTTGTCTTTTTTAATCCGTATCATATCCGTGACATATTTTTGTAAAATTACTTTAACAAGGCAACGAACTTCTCAATAATAAAATTATCAAACTTACGGCATTATTTAAAAAAACTAAATTTATATATTTTTATTTAGGAAATAGCGTCTTTAATAAAGACTCTGTGAGCAATATTTTAAGTTAAAAATATCCAACGAATGTCCGAAAATAATGTCATCATAGCCAAAGGAAAAAAAGGTAACAGGCGGAAATGGAATGCGAAAAAGGGATATCAGATTCAATCCATCTAAACGTCTGTCATTTTGGGTTTCTAAAAGATAAAATACTTATAGATAAAATAGAATGTCGTGTAATCATTGCGAATAAATTATTGTAAACTTTATCATTAAAAATACATGGATCATTATCATTAATTAATATTAAAATCATTAATTAATTAATCGACACCAACAATATCGGTACTGCACCTGTCATTGCACTTCTCAATTTAATTAATTATATTGTAATTACATCAATGTTTGCCACCGAATGAACATCATTGAGCGGAAATTTTTAATTAAATGAAGGTTCGTTTTAATTTAAACTATCGTGTTCTGTATAAAATTATATTAAATATATATTTTTGCTTACACCATATATGAGATACATGCCTATTTACGCTTATAGAAATATCTTATTTGTGTTTAAAATTGGCGCGATTGTCTCACAACATATTTGTTATAGCCTGATCCTAAATTGTAATTGCCAAAACAACCATTCAATGTATGATTTAATGAGGAATGAGGTGGATGACAATACAGTCGAACCTGAAAAAGCAAGAACTGGAAGCAAGAAAACTAAAACGGGAGCCAATCGGTCCCTTGGACTCTCGCTTACCCAGGTTTAACTGTATATTGTGCCAGTGTTCCGGTAGATATAACCCTCGGTAACAGAAATCTAATTTCACTTAGGACTATTGAAGAGTTTAACTACACTTTTATATCGTAAATCTATTCAGTTCAAAAGAAGGGCTTATTCAATAAAAAGATTTACTTTCTATCGCTTTATTAGCTATACGTATATAGTTTGTCTTTGAGGATGAAAGGTCTTGCTTTTAGCGAGTACTTAAGGGAGCTGAGATTTCAGTTGACGTCCCTCACATTAGTCGAAATATAGTTTCTCGTATATTTTTGAAGT